TCACATATCACCATTAAGTTCATTTCAGGCAAGTACCTATGCTCTTATCGAGCTTGATGAGCTAAGAACCTCATGTTGCACATACATCAAGCTTGAAGGAGATACATAAGAAAATTAGAGTATAGTAATTGCACTTAATTTTATATTTCTATATATGGCTACTAATGATTTCTTCTTATAGATTTATCCATTCAAGGAAGTCATCCATAAGATTAAGGATATCACCAAGAGAAACTATAATGCTCCTTACTTGTCTTGGAAGAAGATCAAGACTGAGGTTTGTGATATGTGGTTTGGAGAATTTGACGTAAACCATAAATAATGTTGAATTATAATAATCATAATTTTTATTTTCATTACAAAATATATATAGTTGATATTTCTAATCAGAAGGAGTTCTAATGGCTGCCTGGGCATCATCAATAGATTAGGTGGAACTTTGAGAGTAGAGGGGCCACTTGCCATATGAAATAAATTTACCCACATATATAAGAAGGGTCAGAAGCCCCTTTGAATTGGGGAGGATGTCTAGGCCTAGTTGTGTAAAATTTATGCCTCACTTGATTATGTCAGGAAGAGGTAGCAAGTGTAACAGAATGGGTTTAAGACTGTGGAGGCTTAGTCATTGCCTCTCTACACACTGGATGCTAGGCCCCCCTTATTGATTATTAAAGGTTTATGTTAAGATTTACTCTGTGCATTAAATTTGAAGTCTAATTATTTATTACTAATTATATATATATATATATATATATATATATAAACAAACATGGGTGCATGGATGAGTAACCATTGCTGCCGAAGCTACATAGGCATACACATCAGCATCAGGCAAACAAATGGTTGGCCTACACCAGATCTCAGAGAGTCTATGTAAGTAGATAGTCAATTTATATCTTCTCAATTATTTGTAAATCTATTTTATGAAGCTAAATACACTTTATAATTTTTTATAGGATAAGGACTTGCACTTGAATGATGTCCAAGTAAAAGCTCACCAGCAGTTGGTAGCTCTAGCCGCTAGTCCAGCCATTTAGGGCCCGTTTGGGGCAGCTTATAAGTGCGGATACACATACATATAGATACATGTATACATACATATCACAATATTTTTGTGTTTTCACGAATCTAACACACAAAGTTTGATATTTACACTTATGACATATTAGTGTCATAAATAAATGCACGGACAATTGCGGTTCTTAAAAAAAGTAACGATTGTGACATTTTTTACTCCATTTGGTGCGGTGCTAAAGTGGTAGAGCGGTGTCACATGCCGCACTTTTAGGCATTTGTTGAAATTATGTTTTGTAGTTATGGTGTGAAGCTTCGTTTTACAACCTAAACTAACTAAGGACCCGTTTGGGGCAGCTTATAAGTGCAGCGGCGTTTTGAAAACACCGCTTACGTGTTTGTTAGCACGTTTCTACAAATTATTTAAAAATTGCATTTAATTTTTTCTATTACACGCAGATTGCGGGTTTATACCCACGATCCGCGTTTTCGTCCCTCGTTTTACGCCTCTACCCCTCTCTCGCGAACCTTTGCTGAAATCCATTCGAAGTTCGTTGGTCTCCGTCGCCGAAAGGCAGGCTCCCCCTCCTACACATCCTCCGTCGCTCTCTTCCGAACCTCCTCCTTCATCTGATCCTCGGTCTTACCCGCGCCATCTTGCTCTCTAGGCTCCAGGCTTCAGCGAAGTTAACTATTTGGCTGCGACGGTTGGCTGTGTCCCCGGAACGGCGGGCGCCACCTTACTCTCTCGTTCTTACGAAGATGAAGAGCTGCGTATCTGACTCCGAGAGATCTCCGTAATCTGGCGGTCTTGTTTCTGTGTTTCTATTTCTCTCGCGGAAAGTTCCGGCGAGGTATCGATCACTATTCCTTGCTCCGTTTCTTGAAATTTATGATTTTATATCCTTCTTTCTGTTCTTGGTTTAACGTTTTGTTCTTGCACATTGCTAGGTTTTCTGCTTAGCTTCTGATTTTTTTTTTGAAGCTGTTTTTCTGGTTTCCGAATTCATTAATGTGGATATCATCTTCGATGGGTACAGTTTATTGAAGTGTTCTTAATGCTTTGGGTGTTTATAAAATATGAAAATGTGGATTCGCTGGGTTGATTTGCCCTTGCTTCAAACTTCTTATGCGTGCTCTTATGTACCTTGATGCTGCTAGAAAAATCGCGGTGGCAGAGTAATAGATTATCATCTTAACGTTGCACGAAAATTCAACGCACACATAGATAAAAGAAAAGAACTGTAGTGACAGCAAAAATTTGTACGTAGAAAACCCATAATGAGAAAAAACCATGGGGTCTAACCTAGCTGAAGAAATCCACTGTAAACTGGATATTACATGGACAGTCTTTGGTTCCACGAGCGAGAAAGGGTTGAACATTTGGTATTAAAGTTTTTTGCATTGAAACTTTTATTCATTCAACTAAAAAAATTTACAAATAAGTTGTTTACAAAACGTACTAACCAAACAGCTAAACAACTTATTCAAAACAAGGGCAAAAGGGTCAATTTTTCACAATCAGTTGTTTTCCATAAGCGCCAACCAAACAGCCAGACAGCTTATCCGGATCAGCTGGTCATCAGCAGATTATCAGGATAAGCTGTTTATCAGCAGAAGCTGGATAAGCTGCAGCTACCCCAAACAGATCCTTAGACTTTGACATACACCTAAGAGGAGAAAGAAATGAAGAATCTACTCCCTTAGCTCACAAGAACTTGCATACAATGTACACCACTCTTCTAATTAGAGCTCCACACTGATTTATAACGAAGTCAGCAGGTTTGTCGTACCGTTCAATGAGGACATCTGGACCCAATTTTTTTGCTCGATTCACTAAGTTGGAGTTGAGGATGGAGGCAACGCTGGAGGAGGTATGACATGAGCATGCCGACCTGGCAAGTACCCGGGAGTGGAAGAGGAGAGAGTAGTCCTTTCTTTATATACTTTATTGATTATTATTATTTCTCTTGAATATGTTTTTTATTTACCTTTATTTATATACTCTATTAAAGTTTCTTGAACTTATTATTGTTGTGTTATTATTGTGATTTTATTCACTGTGGATGCATTATATTACATGCGTTTGAGAAATGAATATGGTTGCATTGTATTTTTTTGTCACAATTGTAAACATACAAAATATGTTAGTTCAAGGTCTTTTTTTCTGGTACACATTTCCGACGAACTTTAGACGGATAAACTGTCAGCAATATTTAATTAACATATTTATTAACCAATTCCTTGATACGAGCTAAACACGTAACTGCACGTGCAGGGTCCTGATATAATATTTTTTTCTCATTTATGATAGAAATTTAGATAACCGAAAAGCATTTCCGACCAGGGGTATTCTAGCTGTTCAAAATCCATCGATATAGAAATAAATTATTAAAAGAAGGAAAATCAATATATTCAATTATAAGCTAACTTTATATAGGGAAATTGAGGTGTGCAATTATTTTCTTATCTATACTAATTTCGGTTCTTTTAATTTTAAAATATATTTATGATTGTAAGGATTAGACTATGATAACAAAAACAAAATTAAATGAATGTTTCCTATTTTAAAAAAAGTTTCATAGATTACATTTTCATTGAAACTTATATTTCAATATTTGAAAAAAAGCCATCTTATGAAAATCGAATGAAATAAATATATAAATCAATCATAGGAGTCACCCTCATTACAAATTTTTTTGTGGAAAGCATTGAAGGCCAGCCTCCTGTTGCCCAGTTTTAAACAGGCTATTTACATGAACAAAGAGTTCAGAGTTTGTATGTTTATACTCGATAAAGACAAAATGATGTGTTATGCATTATGAAGGTCATTCACATGATGTAAGTTGCAGAAAATTTCAGATCAAACATGTAGGCTATCTTTAAGTCTATGGATAGGTTTTCTTTTCCTTTAGCAAGATACATAGAAGGTTGCTCCACATGAAGTATTTCATTTAGAATGTCATAAGAAAAGGCATTACTCATGTCCCATTTGTGGCATTCATAGATACATGCAAGAAAAATATAATTTAAAAAGACTATAAAAAAAAAGAAAATTCTAAAAATACATGTACCCAATTGATACAATATTATAGACGATTATCTTAAAGATTATTTTTAAAATAAAATTAAATGTTCAAAAAAATCTAAAAAATAAAATTTTATTATTTAATTATCACATCGAAAAGTTATGTATTTATAAAACTATCACATAAATTAATTTTTGAAAGTATTAAACGCATATATTTATGCATGTCAGAATCAAATCACCTGTAATTTGATAGAAGCAAACAATGCAGGTTAGTGTTAGATAATAAGCTTCGATATTTGGATGCAAGGAGCAAATTTTGTGAAGAGCAATGTTTATATTGTTATATATTGGGGGAAAAATCAGCATATTCAAAGAACCTGTAACCCATTGGTTAAAGAAGATTAAATTATGTTCTCAAAGTTATGAATTTAAGTTGCAAACACTTAACATTAATCTCTCATTGTCAAAAAAACCAAAATAATTGCTGCTTCAACAAACGTTACAGGCCAAGCTAGAAACACTCGATAGCCTGGGAAACACATCTGCATAACCTTAGGATCATGAGATTCCCACACTCGAGACTTCGAACCGCACTGATGACCTTATTCACAATAGATGGTGGGACGGTCGTCGTCTGCTGCTCGCAAATTTCAACCTTTAACTCGGATGGATTAGATGGATATATCCCACTGTTACAAAAAAAATAAAAAAGATTTACAGATACATTTCACTCAATACCACCTTACATATGCATGAAAAGGTGTAATTGGCTCTTTAAAAATTAAAATGATGGTATTTTTTATGTGAGATGAAAGATTTGGGTGGCAGAAACATAAAAAGTAAGGGATAGTTGTTAGTTACTTAAATATGTATGAATTGGGTAAATGCCCCAAAAATAAATTACATCCTGTGAGATTCAGTTTCGGGCGATCGATTGATAATGAAAGAGCGTCTTTTATTCACCATTTCCGGCCGGACATTCGCCAATGCCCAGAATGAGTTTCCTGCTGCCTCTGGAACTGTAGAAACAGAGTTGAAGTTCAAGCTCGCCGGCTGAAAAATGATTCAAATTCAATCCAGGTGAGTTCAGGACAGTACGAAAATGTATAACGAAATATTGAATTCAGCACATAGTGGCTCACGCGGTCATCATTTTGAAGTTTAGTTTCATTTTGAGTTTGAGGCCTTATCCTCTAAGGGTCTGTTCGGCACAATTTTTTGTAAAAATACTATAGGGGTTGTTTGGGATAACTTTTGTTCTTCTTGACATGTTGTTCCGAGCTTTAATTTATTTTATTTATACTTGATTTGATATAAAACATTTGATATTTTAAAACATGTTTAGTTGTCTTTAAGAAAACTCATCTTCTGAAATTTTTTTTAAACAAATTGCTTTATTTTCAAAAACATAAACATAAAATTATTTGAGAATTAAAGAAACAAACATATTAGAAAAGCAAAAATAAGAGTAAGCCCGCTTAACCAGTAGTTTTTCCAGACTTCGTTTCCTAAAGCTTTAGTATCTAAAAACAGCCCTTTTGATTGAGCTCGTCTTTTCATGTTATAGTGAAAGAATTGTATTACGTGATTTCTCATATTCAAGATTTAAACAATAATATCATCTTCAATTCCAAATGAATTAAAAAAAATAGCTTTCTTTCCTGCATTAATTTTATGATTAAATTTACAAGCAGCTGCAAAAATTTTAAAAAGATGCTAAGTTTTTTTTATCAAAGTCCTTTTTCTCATTCTCTCTCTAAGGTTTTGAGCTAAAGTTTATACTTTACTATAGGCTTTCATTTGCTTAACCTTAACTAAAGTGCACAATAAAAAGGGTGGTTCCTTCAAGCTTACTTCTTTTAGCTTATTTACCTTAATAACTAATGGAGATGGCTAGAGTTCTGAGAGCCAGAGAGTGGATGTAAGCTTAAGCTTTCGGAGAACCTATTCCATTATAAATCTCTCATCTGCTTTCTTTTGTATGGCTGATTCTCTCCCTTGCTCTGTTTCTCCCTTAACATTCTAACAATTGTCCATGCCACATTCAGAATGCCAATTTAATAACATTCAATTAGACCAACTATACCTTTAGGTCTCTGATAGTGGAGGAGAAAGTCAAACCACAAAAGAAACACAAAAGCAAACTTTTATTGATATAAGGATAGAGTTACAACACACACAAACTGAAAATAACATCACCAATACATAAAACGACACAAACAAAACACCTCAAAAGTGCATCATAAGGGCGGTGGAAGTCAGCTAGGTAGATCGGTATGGTTGGCAAGGGTGGTAGCAGCAAAGGAATGCTGATGGTAGCGAGGGGAAGGTGCAGAATTGCAGGGACAGCAAGGTAAAATACCGGGGATGGAGCTGCAGGGGCTAGGGAAGGGGATTAACAGTAACCGGAGGCTATGGGAAGGAGGAGGACTGCATAGCCAAAAATGGATGAAGATACATCACCACCTTGGAGTAGGATACCGCCGGACCATCACCCCCTCCTCAGATACAACCCACAATGGGGAAAAGGACTCCACACAGGAATCTAAAATCAAGACAGCAAAAACTACTTCCCAACTCTGAGAACAGCTACTAAATAGACTCTTACATGAAGAAGAAATGAAAGAAAATAAAAAAAGAAACTCCCGCACAAAAGAAAGGGGTGGGGGTCCATAAATATTGAGAAATTAGCCCTAAAATTACTGTCAATAGAAGAAGAAACACAAAAGGAAGGAGAGGCCCTTCCGGCACTGCCGCCCTTTTCCAAATGCTTGATCCAAGCGAGAGATAAGAAAGGAAGGTCGCCTGGGCCGCTCAATCCTTTTGAAAGCTTGGACCGGCCCCCTGGATCGGCCCCCATGCCAGCCGGTTCAGTCGGCTCTTGTTTTCCCGCATCGGGGAGGGAAGTTCCTGCACCCGCTTCCCGCATCTATGAGGGGACGTCCCGCATTAGTCTCCCGAGGTTGGGGGAGCTTCGAATTCATTTGTCGAAGCTTCTGGTTGTCGCAGGCCGTTTCTGGATCTCACTGGTGACTACGCTAGCTACCAATGCATCTGAGAAGCTTTTCCCACTTGCGAGCATACCTCTCTGAAGATCGAGTCTGGTCGAGCATAATCTGAGTCGAAGGTACACCACAATGTAGGCTTTAACGAACCAAACTTCAAATAAGTAAATACTCCATATGCTTCTCAGCTATGACAAGTTGGGCCTCAACAAGATTGAGGATTTGCAAGAGTTTAGTTGAAGGGTGAATTTTATTATCTTTCGAGTCTTCCCACTGACTCTAGAAGTTTTGGAGAACTTTTGTGTCCCATTAACAAGAGTTTCACACGGGTCTTTCTTATATTCATGTGGAATACTGAGGGTCGGGGCTGGAAGTGTAGCTATCTTTAATGCTATCAGTTGGTTGTCACTAAAATTATCCACTGAAATTTTAAATTCCAACAAACTATATGTCTCAACAAAGAGTTCTCCATCTTCTAGAAGAGAAGGAACCATAATCTCATAAAAAATTTGCATATTTTTTTTATCACATGGAGGAAAGACATTTGATGTATCCACGAACAACAGAGATTCACGGGGGAAGATTTCTTCAGATGAAAGTTTTCGTTTGAACAAATCTTCAATGTCTACAGTGTCGTTACTCAACTTTTTGATGACGCCCTGCTCGGTGAAGTAGATCACACACCTGGTTGTGCATTCTGCTACAACATGTCCAAATCCGTGACACTTGTCATATTTTCTGACTGTGAAAAACTTGCGGATTGGTTTCGTTGGATAGTAGCCAGGGGGGTCGCTTGGCATTGTGGTCTCTTCAATTCAAAACCTAGGAGTTGTAACTTTCGACGGTAGTAAGTTGATAGGAATGGGTGTTGTTTTTCCCGCTTCATCTTCATATTTTCTCATTCTTCTCTTCCACCTTCCAGATCAAGGTTGAGGGTAGCCTCCCATTGGATTTTACTTTCAATGTCCGTAATCCACCGCTGAAGTCTGTGAATCTCTCGCCGTATTTTCTCACGAGTAAACTTGGGTATGTATCTAATTAGTGGCATATCTAAGATTTAGGGATGAGATCTGAAAAAATGATGTAGGAGATTCGTTGAAGGTATATAAAATTTAATTTGGGATTGCTGATTTTGAAAACCAACAAGAGGATTTAGAGCTTGGTTTTGGAATGCTTGGTTCAAAATAGGGCAAGAAAATTTTACAGTTTGTTGGGGGGGGGGGTAGGACTAGGGTAGCAAATGATACGTGAGGAGAAAGCCCAAACCACAAAGGAAACACAAAAGCAAAATTTTATCGATATAGGGATATGGTTACAACAAACACAAACTGAAAATAACCTCACCAACACATAAAACGACACAAATAACACCTCATAAGTGCATTCCAAGGGCCGTGGTGGTTGGCCAGGTGGATCGGGATGATTGGCAAGGGTGGTGGCAGCAAAGGAATTTTGATGGTAGTGAGGGGAGGGTGCAGAATTGCAGGGAAAGCAAGAAAAAATGCAGGGCATGGAGCGGCGGAGGGGAGGGAA